GGATAAGAGTCTTCCAGTCTAGGCTAGGGATAAAAAGTTACAAGGAAACCATAAAATGGCCCTTAATTTAATCAAAATTAAATTTGATACTGCTGCTGATGAGAATTTGGTACCCATAAATGGTGTTGGTCAAATGGGCATGCAATGGATTTCAATTGCTCCTTGTCCTTTTTTTTAATAACTTTTTTTCTTCTTTTCCGTAAGTGAGTGTTTGGCATATACGGGAGATGCCATACAATTAATTTTCCAATACCCAAAAGTTAGGCTGAAGCTGAAAAAGCAAATATGAACACCGACTCGTATAATAAGAGTCTCCGCCAGATAATTTCTCATAATTATGCTTAGATTAAGAGTATTGCAACTGGGTTTCCTCCTAAAACATATAAAACCCCAAAAGCATGAAGAGAAACATATTACTGTACGAAATGTGGAACATGAGACCATCATCATTAAACAAGTGTTGTAAATCATAACGCATTTAAACATATTACATGACATATGAAAGCGTATACAATAATGATGTATTAGGCGCAAATCAAATACCAGTCTAGTTACAATAATGATGTATTAGGCAAATCAAATAAATTATTTAATACTAATTATTCACTAAATAAATAATAATTAAAATATAATTACTAACTTAACTAGTTAGATCAAGCAAAGATATTATTTTTTAAAAATTAATTAACCCAAATATCCTAAGTTTAGATTTATTTTTTTAAAAAGGAACTTTGCCGAGAAATTTCGTCGGCGCAGGTCAACAGACCTCTCCCGACGAAATTTCGTCGGCATAGGTTTATTTGTCGTGAAAATCCTTATCCGACAAACTTTTGCCGGCATAGGTCCATGCCGACGAAATTTCATCGGGAAAGGTGTTATGTTTGTTTTATTTAAATTTTTAATTTTTGAAATATAAAATTAGTTTCTTTACTCTTTTTTTTTTTTTGGCTAACCTCTTTAATTTAATATATGTAATTAAGTAATATCTTATTAGCCTTAATATCTCCTATAATTCAACAAAATTTATATATATATATTACTTATTTTCATTTGGGTGCCTTAATTAAAGTTCTCCAAAGCCCAAGAGCCCCAAGGCCCAAGTCTTTGATTAATATAATTATTATTAATCAGCGCCAAATCCAAAGCCGAGCCTATAGCCAAGCTAATTTAATGACAAAAGCATCAAAGTAAGATTAACAGGTGAAAACACTTGAAAATAAAAAAATATTAAAAAAATACCCAAGTGTGCCCTCTCTGTGACTTGAACCCTGAACCCTGAACCCTGAAGTTAATAATTAAAACAAAAACCAGCCCATTTAATATTAAACATTTTAATATTGTTGCTCATTATATTTATTTGAACACCACTCTCCATACTATATTGCTACTGTAACACTACTTTCCATCTAATATTAAACATTTTAAATGAGTCCTCCCCATCATTTACTGTCTCCTATGTTCAAAACTGAAGTTTAGTTTGCATGACATTAAGAAAATGTAAGGAAAACCTGTCTGTGTTGTTACATTGGAAGATGTAATCCAATTTTACAGCAGAAAACAACGTTTTTTAGGGGTCTGCAGGACTCAAGCCGCTTCTAGCAAACCATCATAGTGCTTTGTTTATAAAGACCTCTGTAGGAGTGGATTTTCGATGTGGGGTGTTCACAAAAGGCACCTCAAAAGCTAAGCCTACAGAGAAATCCATATTTATATTTTTATTGTTGGCGTATATATTAAAAGCGTATAGCCGCGCGGCTATACCCTTTAATATGTATCTCTCTTTTTGAATCACTTTGATTAGTAGTTAGGCTTTACTTAGTGAATATTAAAGGAAAAAAAGAAAAAAGAAAGAAGAAAGATTGAATTACTATTTATTAAGTAACATAATTCATGAAGTTAATGAAAATTTTTAATACTAATTATTCACTAAATAAATAATAATT